ACTATATACTTACTTAAATTTTAAACAACGTTCTACAGTGGGGTACCCAAAAAAAAAAAAAAAGTTTGGAAAAAAGAGATGTGCGTTATCTAGAACTTGGTTACTAGGTGTATTATGACCAAATATATTAGAATTTTTAAATTTAAACGGTTACAAGTGCTTGGTGTAAAACTTCAAATTTTTGATTTTTTCCTATTTATACGATAAAACTTGTAAATATTAGAAAAATAATCACCATAAACATTTATTATAATAAAATTTATTTTAAATGTATGGTGCATATGCTGAAGAGTTGTAGAAAGAAAGGTTGAACAAATATCATAAGCACAAAAAACCATAAAAAAACGTTGAATACTTTGTATTAAACGTTTTTCTATGGTTTTTTGCAACCAACAAAACATTCTGCTTCATATCTTCATTTCGGTATGACATAATAAAGTCTTGGATTAGTTTTATATTTCTTTCTGCACAATCTTTGGTGACTTCCATATTATTAACAAAAAATTTAAAGTTGTCTAGAACAGTAAAGTCTCCTTGTGCAGCTAACTCAACCTGGTCATGGGTAACCTTGGTTAGGAATTGGAAACTGTAAGAGGTTTTGAAGTAATTTCTTCTTCTCGACTTTTTCTACATCATCATCCGCTAAAGCCATTACAACAAGCTGCTGATTTAAATACCAGGTATGATTTTGCATGCTTTTTAGTATTGGTTGAGAAAACTGAGGATATTCTTTACTTAAATCAAGAATGTCTTTGAATGCTGCTAAATCATTAGCTGGTGCTTTAGTACTCAGAGAGCTTTTGAAAAACCAAGGACAGTATGTTAGAGATATAAATAAAGAAGCTGTCGTAACCATCTCCTTCTCCTTTTCGTTCATGATATTTGAGATGTCTTTTGTCATTTCTAATGTAAGCAAATAAATTGCATCTGCCATAAACCTTGATTTATGACAAGCTCCTGCCTGATGAAATTTTATACCAGGAACATGACCACCAAGAAAGTAAACAAACAACTGACAAAGATTTTTGTAGTCTCCTCTCTTGAAAATATTTTCATTTAGTGCAGTTTCTCCAAACTTTAATGCTGTCTAGGCTATATTATAAATAGGTGATCCAATCTCTAAAGAAGTTCAGTTAAACTTAACCAGATTTACTGATGATGTGTCTATTTTGTCAACAGTTTTTGACCAAACCTTCTGTAAGCGAACATAAATTTCTCTTCACGGAGACTTGGTATTGGCGCCAGTCAGTACAGTCATAAAATGTTTAATATGTACTTCAATAATATGGCGAAGACACATGCACCAGACAAGACTTTTATTAAGGATAGTTAATAAAATTGTAATTGCTCCCGCAAATTTTCCAGTGTTGGATGCAGTTGTGTCGCAGCAAACACCAATAATATTGTCGACAATATCATGATATTCCAAAAGATTGAGGATTAAATGTGCCTGCTCTGACCCAGTTGAATTTTCTGCCTGTACTATGCCAAGCAAAAAATTATCTCTACATTCCAAATCTGGACTGGTTACACTAACTGTAATTCTTTTACATGTAACTGTCAGATCATTTTCTTCTTCCAGCTGTCTAACAAGTTTCCCATCAAAATGAACTATAAGTTTTTTTTCTTATAAAACATTAACAACATCCTGCCGTAGTGTTTTTCCTAAATCAATTAAATTATACATTTAGAATAATAAAGATAACAAAACAAATAAACTTAATCATTTTTGTGAATAATAGTTCCCAAGATTTTCAATAATTCTCTTCTAATCTAATCTAATAATTCTGTATCTTTTTCTATGTAGAGTAGATCTTGATAAATTAATCTCATGCAAGTCAACACCTGCTTTATTGCAGATAGCAGAAATTATAGCAGTCTGGGGCCTAACACCAGTTCTATACCGAACGCTAACAGCAGAAGTAGCTTTAATTAGTTCATCAGGTGTTAATTCTAAAATTACTTTTGATTTTTTTGTTTTAGGATCCTTTCACTGAAAAATATTACATAGCTAAAGTTACTAAAAACAAGATAAATCTATAATAATTTTTGTTGTTGTAAAATTTACCTAACAGATCTTCCACTAGTAATGTTGCACGCAAAACCAGATTTTATCCAGATGTCAGTAACAGCTGAAGTTACACATCTATTGGTTGATATTTCACATGCTCTATACTGGCAAACTAGACTTCTGGTTCCTGTTTTTGTTGGACAGGCAATAATTTCTTTGCTGGACTGAAATCTGGTGCTCGTATATAAGAGAATCATATATATTTTAGAAAATATATAGAAGTATATAGTTTTATTCATGAATTGTGGGTGAAGTAAATAAATTTGATAAAAACTAGATTATAAAACAACCTTGAAGATTTCAAAAAGTGAAAGTATTGCAAGATATTTTTGACACTGGGCAGCTGGCTGCCGAAAGCTCATTTATGGGATATTTTAATAGATATAGAGATCGTCTTAAACTGCTTTGAACAGTGTACTTTTCTTTTTCCCGTGGTTCTATTTTGCTGGATTTTTTTACAGTTCGACCCATTTTTTAAAATATATTTAATTATGAAATTAAATATAATGAAACAATTTTATATCACATGTATTTTAAACTAATCAAAAGTTAATAAGTAAAAAATAGCGGTAACCAATAAAATACCAATATTCAAGAAAAAAAAATTGAAATGTATCGTTAAGTATAAGTAAAAGATGACTAATTTAAAAAATAATAGATAAATAATGCTACTTTAAAATAAATTTCGTTTTTTTTTATTGCAGGAACATTTAAAATAATAAAAACTAAAAAAATATGACAAAAATTGACCTTTTTTTTGAAAATTTTAAGTTTTACACCAAGCTCTTACACTTGTCTCAGATCAATATTTTTTTATATATTTCGTCTTTTTACATATAAGAGCCAAGTTTTTAACAGCGCGCAAAAGAAATTTTTTTTTTGGGACACCCTATTTTACAGTAACATGTTTTTTAATTAATTTGTGTAATAACCTTTAACATCTATAGATGTAGTATTTAAAATATTTATTAAAACCACCCATATTTTTTAACTTGAAAAAATTACTAGACTAAAATTTATACCTGCGCAATACATAAAGAAACAGTAATACCTTAAAGACCATTTACTAAAAATATAACAATCGGACAACTTAAATTTGTTATTTTATTCAAATTATAACATAATATTTCATAAAATATTTTGAGGTTTTTACAGAGGAACTGTTTGGAAAGCATGTTGAGATTATTTGGAAATTCCAATTCAATAGTTTTTTAATTGTGAACGTAAAATTTTGTACTTTTGTGCCATATATATGTATCATATATATACAATTTATATACTAATTTGATTTAGAATGTAATAAATGGTCAGAGAGTACAAGAAAAGCAACTGATGCGTCAGTAATGGCAAAGTATGCAAAGCATACAACAGTTATAATAAAGACAATCTGCAAAAAGCTTTGTATCAAGTGCAAAGCAAAACACTCACTCTTTTTGAAGCTTCAAAGAAATATAAAATTCCATTTTTCATTCTGAGTAGAATGAGAAATGATCATAAAACATTAAGTTGACCTAAAACATTTAGTGTTGAGGAGGAATATATTTTAGTTAGTTTTGTTAACATAAAAATTACCAGCGAGTAAGAATTTTCATTTGATTTATTAGATTTGAGAATTACGTTTTTTAAAACGTAACAAACATGTTTTTTCACATAAATGTGCAACCAATATTGTCACAGATAGAACAAAAACTTCATCTAGTATAACTGATAACATCTTCAATAATCTTGAAAAAAAATATGACAAACTATTCATCTGACTACATCATCAACTATGATGAGACAAAAAAAGCGATAATCCTGGAGTCAAAAAATATGTTTTTAAGCGAGGCATATTGTATCCCGAAAGAATTCTAAATACTTCTAAAAACACAACAAGTTCAATGTTTGCTGGAACTGCTAATGGTACTATTTTACCCATTTACATTGTTTATAAATCAGAACATTTGTGGGATACTTGGAGAAAAGGTGGACCTGATAAAATTGTTTATAACAGAAGTAAAAGTGGATGGTTCGACACTTCTTTTTAAAGGTTGGTTTTTAGAAATAATTTTTTCTATATATACAAAACAAAGAAAGAAAGAAAATTATAATTGGTGACCACACCTCTCAGACGACTCAATTTTTCATAACACCTTCTCAAATAAAAAACAAGTGAGCTGACTCTTTAATTATAAAGTTAAATTTGTCAAATCTTAAAAAAAAGTGTAGCTTGAACTAAACTCTATCCAAAAAAACAGATTTTTGCGATTGTAATTTACTATAAAACAACTTAACTTATATTTATTTCGTAATAGACCCGATTTACGGTATTATATAAGAGTGAGCATTAACGATAAATTATCCGGGATAATTTTTTTAATTAATTGAATTCAAAAAAGCGCGAAATTTCAACGATGGCGACACCAATGTAAATAAACAGTATTTTATTAAGTTTTCATAATATTTGAAATTTTAAATTTTAGATGATGTCTTGGGTATGATAGTAATATAAGCAACAAAAAAACAACAACAAAAGCAATAACATCAACAATAGTATCATCATCATCATCATCATCATCATCATCATCATCATCATCATCATCATCATCATCATCATCATCATCATCATCATCATCATCATCATCATCATCATCATCATCATCATCATCATCCTCATCATCATCATCATCATCATTATCATCATCAACAACAACAGCAACAACATTAACAACAATAACAACAACAATAATAATAATGGCATTATTATTATTGTCAATTATTATTAATGTCAATAATAATAATATTAATAATAATATTATTTTTAAAAATAATAAAATTAACAATAAATTAATAATGACAACAGCAGTTATAATACAACATCAAAAATAATAATAACAATATTACCATTATTTATAGAAATAAATAAAAATTATATGAATCAATATATAGAATGCCAGAAATATCATCAAAAAAAGATTTATTTCCAAAAGAACTAGATGCATATGAAAATAAAAATGAAAAGCTTGGTGAAGGTTTGTATTGTTATATCAAATGTGTTTTTGCTCAATATTTTTGTAATATATAAATGTATATATTTTCTTTCCATTTCACACTTTTAACCTTATAACATCGAAGCATGAATTATCTGTTTGTTTTCTTATTTGTGGTCATGAATTATCTGTTTGTTTTATTATTTGTGTTGTGTGTGTGTGTGTGCTAATAAACCAGACCAGAATAAAGTTTTTTTTTTTAAAAATAATAAATTGCTTGCCCAAACCAAACCCTTCGGTGTAGCAGCACTCCCTTCTAACTGCAGGCTGTATAATAGTAAATGTAGCAGCACTCCCCTGCAGCAGCAGGCTATAAGATAGTCGATATAGCAACACTCTGCGCATGTTTTAAAAATATGATTTAAAAAAACAAAAGCACTATTTAAGAAACTTTTTAGTCATTATTATTTCAGTTTTTTAATGAAATTCAATGTACTTCTGCAATATTTTAATTGTTTTATCTTCACTTCATAATTTGTTTCATGCGTGTTTAATTCATAACAGTTTCAGTATATGACATCACAATTTTTTTTAAGATTAAGTCTTTTTTTGTTGTGGTTTTTCTAAGAATATAAGTATTTTTTCTGCTACATTCAGAAAATCAAGTATTTGTATAATTTTTCATTAAATCACTAAAAATATATATATTTGTTATATAAATATATACATTTTTTTATATTTATAATTTTTTTTATACTTGCTTTATTATTATTTTGTTTTAGAAGCCAGCCACAATCATGATACAATTATACATATTTTATGATTATTAGAGTTCGCAGACAGAGAAAAAATAAAGGCAGTATGATGCGGTTTCTCATTTAATATTTAGTTCATATGGTTTGATAGAGTTGTTCGTTTTATGTTTAATTTACATTTAGTTTATATGGTTTAACTCTTTCACTACCGCAAGGCTTTCAAGTATGCTTCACAATTTATCTTGTTTTGTAAATAAATTTCTATTCTAGACACATATAATTTGTTTGTTCTAAAGGTTTAATAGGTTACCATTTGGTTTTTGTCACGCATATATTAAATATGTTAAAACTAAGGATTTTGGGATCAAAATGCAGACAAACAACTTAAAAATGTATAACAACAACAATACAAGTTATTCAGTTTTCAATACAATCTCGCAATAATTTTTTTATTTCTTGTTTAGTGTTTGTGAATTTTTTAGAGCTAATTACAAGGAAAGTTTTCATTTTGATAAGTTGGTTTAAATTTGACATTATAAAGCCTGATTACTCCAAGTTTTTATTTTTATCAGTAGATAGTTTTCTTTGACAATAAATGAAATAATTAAACAAATGAATTTAATGAATATAAATATTCTTTTTATTCATTAAATGAATTTTTTTTGGACTTAATGTTTTAATTACTATTTATAAAAACAATGGTTTTAAGCACTTTGCATTTCTTATTGTTAATGATTGTTGATGGTGCATGTTAAAAAACTTATTTAACTGAAAAGACTAAAACGTGAATTTTTAAAATTAATGGTGCGCATTCATTAGTTTCAATCAAAAAAATTTAGCCCAAATATTTTTTTTAAGCGTTTTCTTTAATATGAACACAACTTGTCTCGGTACTTGGGGATTCCTTTAAATTATAACTTAAGCTTTAAATTATAACATTAATACCTCAAAGCCACACCAGGGATGAAGGGCAAATTATGAGATTTTTTTGCATTAATTCAAGCCATGTATGTATTAACTGTAGGGCAAAAAAAAAAAAAATAATTGTTACTGTCAGTTTTATTAACATCTACTAATTATTAAATTTTAAAACTAATTATTTTTAATTTTCATATTTTTCATAAATAAACATATTTTATTTTTTCTTGTTGATAAAATATCAATATATCCTTGAAAAACCCAAAATTTTCACTGAAAAGTCCCAGAAATATCCTGGAAATTTGAATTAGTTTTAGCTGACCACCTTCCTTGAAAACATTTTGATCAAAAAGTTCCATCTTGTCTTTGTGTCAAGAATCATTGGTTGTTGTTTTTCAAGCTCTTTTTTTGTCAAAGAATATCAGTTTTGTTTGAAAATCTTCTGAATAACATGCCAATTATTCTAATTTTAATTAAAGTTTCATAAAGATTATTTGCCAATTCAACCACATTACTGTTTTCAAACTCTTCCTGCCATTCCCTTCTTTATTATCTGAATCATCATCAACTTTATAAATTTCATTATGGTCATCATTAGTCTCAAATTCTTCTAAATTTATCTTTTTGTAAAAGACATCAATAACAGCAAGATGAATTGATATTCCAAGGTAAAGGTTCAAGATTAGCAATATTTAAAAGTTTTCCTAAATTCTTCATCAAACTAGCACCTGCAGTCACTAAGCCGATAATATTTGATCAAGGTTTAAATTGAAGTTTATAAGTGTTTTTATTATCATTTCAAATATTTTTTCTCCTGATATAGAATCATTAATCCTTAACATGCTTTAATTTGTCCTTTTAAAATCTAAAACGTCAACTTACAATGTAGTGTTGCTACATTGACTATCTTATAGCCTGCTACATTGACTATCTTGTAGTCTGACTCGCAACGGAGTGCTGCTACATTGATTGACAAATAGCCTGACTCTCAACAGAGTGTTGCTACATCGATTGAGGGTTTGGTTGGGGCAGGCAGTCTATCAAATAATTAAAAAAAAGTTTTTCTGTTTTTTTTTTTTTATATATATTATACACAGGGTGTCCCAAAATTAAGGCAAGATTTAAATTTACTGCCATTTATGTAGTAAAGTGTTAACAGCACTGAAAAAAATAAATCAAAATCTCGTCAGCCAATAATCAAGAGGCCGTATGTCCACATTTTGTGTTTTTTTTTTGTCTATTATCAATAAATATTTAATAATCAATGGGATGTGTCCAATAAATCTAGTCTTAAGAAAAATACAACTTTTTAAAAAAAAATTAAAAGATTGTCAGACATTCTGGCACAAAAACTTCACAAATTAAATTTTAAAACTTTATTTTCTCAAAAACATAAAAAATGGAAATACGACCTCTTGGTTCTTGGCTGATGATCTGACAGTTAAAATGTAAAGATGGAGCATTACACAATAGAAAAATGTGTCTTTATGAAACAATATTTCAAAAATAATAAAAGCTTGACAGCTGCATTTAAAAACTTCATAAAAAATATGGTTGGAATAGTGTTTTAAGAAAAATATGGTTGGAATAGTTTTTCAATTAATTTCTTCACAGTTGTCAACTGTAAAGAAATTAATTGAAAAATTTTGGGAGACAGGATCCGTTAAAGCCTCCAAACAAACTGGTTGTCCAAAAATAAGTCGTTCAAATGTCAATATCAAAGCAATGCATAAGAGTGTCAGTGATAATCCAGGAACCTCAATTTGGCATTGAGGACAAGAAGTGCATGTCTCAAGAAGCTCCCTCAGCCTATACTTACTAAAGATCTGTGTCTCCATGTTTATAAAATTTAATTAACACAACTGAAGCGTAATGACCATGCACAAGGAAGATAGTTTGTTGAATGGATTATTAAGCATCATCAAATGAATGCTGGTTTTTTGGGCAAAATCATCTTAAGAAACAAAAAGCACACTTTCACCATGATGGGTTTGTTAATCACCAAAATTGCCGCTTTTGGGATTCTGAGAGCCTTAATATGATTGTCAAAAAACAAATGCATCCACAACGTGTCACTGATTGATGAGGATTTTGGGCTGGAGATATAATTGGACCATACTTTTTTGAAAATGAGGCTGGTCATGCAGTGACTGTTACTGGTGCTTGATATCGCGACATGATAACCCTGTTCTTTGCTTATATTGGATGATATTGATGTGGCCAATATGTGGTTTTAACAAGAGGGTGCCACATGCCACATTTCGGTGATCCAAATTGGCCCCCTAGATTCTGTGGTTTAAACCATTAGGTTTCTTTTTATGGGGTATATTCATGGCCTACTATAGTGGTAGGCCTAGTAAACATACGGCTAAAAAAAAAACTGTAGGCAAGTTTTTATTTTATAAAGTTCCAGTAATATGGAGCGTTTTAAAAAAAAACGTGGTTTTAAATTTAATATGTGATACATTTTAATTTTATGTATATTAAATTTGCTTACTTTTTAGAGCTAAATAATTAAATTTGAAGAATATGTTTTTTAAATGTTGTGTCACTGGATGCAGAGGTAACTACGATGTTACAGTCTGTAAAAGTTATTTGCCTTCCAAATAAAAAAAATGTGGATGAACAAAAAAGATGGATAAGTGCTATACCTCGAGATAATATTCCAGATAGGCCAAATACTTTTATTTGTGAAGATCATTGGCCTAAAGACTATGAAAAAGTTTTAGTTTACAGGAAGTTAAGACCAAAACATCCACCATCTGTATTTTCTTGTGTAAATCCAAGTCAAATTCCGACTCCTCTTGCACCACCAAGACCAACTACTAAATCATTGCCATCTTTAAGAAGTACTTTGCCTGATGAAATAGAGGTTTTTGTTAAAGCTGATAATATTTCTTCTTTCGAAGATTTGTGTAAATTTTATGTAAAATAATGTCTAAAAACTATATCTTTTTCAATAATATCAAGTATCACTGAAAACTGTTTACATCTTCAATCTGCTGATATATTGGAAACTTATGTGTTCCAAAGTTTATTTTGAAAATAAAAAATGATTTATCCTTTGATAGCTATCACTGTGGTGTTAAGTGCACCATAAAACATTTTTCTTACAATCATATGAGTATTATTGACTATATTAGCCATCTCCATGCTGCAATACACTATTCTTTACCAATCGATCACAAGAAAAATATTATTATTGAACAGATGTTAAAAATGAACTCATTAATATTTATTGGTGAAAAAAAGTATTCTCCTAAAATGGTTGCTAATAATATAAACAACTCTTTACTCTCAATTACGTGATGACTATGAACTACCAAGTATATTTTTGATGACAAACTTGACATCTAAAGTTAGAAGTGT